TCTGTAATATTTTCTGCTATGTTTAAGTCACTGCTGGCGTTATGCAGATTACTAAGAAAACATAAGAGCTGTTGAAATTTTCTAGTTTTTGTAAATGCAGCAGTGTCACCTTTTTGTTGGACATTAGAAAAATGTAAGTAGCATCTTGAAAAAAAATCAGTATTGTTTGTTTTGTTCTTTCTGAAAAAACTATTTCATTAATGCAGTATTATACATAAAACTTTACAATTCCTTTATTTTGTTTTTCTAGCAAAAGTGACCAGGTTTCATTATACAAAAAGTATCTTAAATTGGAGTGCTCCACAGTTTCTTGTAAGATTAAGGTAGGAAATTACAAAAAAAACCCCTAACCTTAAATTCTAGACTCATTTTTTAAAAGATAGTTCCAGCAGTTGCACAGAGCATTCAGAGAGGTCCTTTGCAAAGCATGTAAATGAACAAAGCACCCCTCCTTAAAGCATTAAAACAGCTGTTCTTTAAAAGGGTCATACAGCTTGTTTGAAAGCTGTCCCCGGCTTTCTGTACATATATGTATCTATATGCACAAGCAACACTTCTGAAACTGCAGATAAAGCAGCTGGACATGCATACCTGCAATCAGCTGGAGATAACCTTTGAAGCAGTTGTACAGGCCTTCCAGTGATATAGCAGCTTTGAGAAGGCATGCTTTGCTTATATTGACACACCTTATAAAGCACTTCTTTTGAATGCTTTGTACAGCCCTAATGGTGATAAATAACATAAAATTATTGTATTTCCTCTTGCATTCTGGAAGATGTAAAAAGAAGACCAGTGTAATTTCCTTTGATCTGTGAGATTTTTCCTCCAGCCATGTTTGCTTCTAAGAAGTTTTTAATTATCTCATTCTTTCCTTTGTGAGGAAGGGATTTTAGAGGTAGAACAAAAAGCAATATAGCACAGGCAAGCTATGATATGGAGATAAGTTGATAATCTTTGGAAGCACCAAGTGTTTGTTCTGAAAAAATAGTCCTTCCCAGTTGCAAACATGCAATAAGCATATCTTCTCAGTCCCCATGTTTTCCTGTTTGTTCCCTGTAACTTTCCTTGATTCTTTAGCCTCCATCCCTGGCCTGTGAGACTCAGTAAACCTAGCTGATATAAAACTGATTCAGATGGCATTAGAAGGGAGGTATGTTCAGCACTATTCCCTTTTTTCAGCAAATAAGAAGTTAGAAACCCAGATTTGCTGACATAATGGGCAATTTTGTCTGCTGTCAAGGGTTCTGTATGAAATATGCTTGGAAAACACACTAGTGCAGAATTAACCATTCTTGAAACTATGGCTTTAATACCATCTCAGAATAAATGTTAATGTAGTAATGTAGACTTAAGTTCGGCTTCAACCTATGTCTTATTATTAACTTGTTCATATATTTAATTGTATCAAACCTATTAGCTGCTGAAAGTTTACTATGAGGGCTGAGAGGAGAAAATTGGAGATAAGTTTTCTAAAAGAAATGTCTTAAATTAATTGAATTATTTCCTTAGTTCACCAGTGTGTGTATCTTCTCTTTTCACTAGCTGTTGTCCATCAGTGAAAAACAAAGAGTACTCATCAATAAAATCATAGTACAAGTCCAGTCAGCTTGTGCAAAAACTGTGCCAAGTATTGCTACATTAGGATCAGGAATAGACCTAGACAAAGTGCAAACTATAATGGAATCAATGGGATCCAAATTATCACCTGGGGCACAACAACTCCTAGATATGGTTCGTTTTCAACAGAAGGTAGGTTATGGTTTGCAAAACACTATGAAATGTCCTTTTTATGGTGCAAGAAGTAGAAGAAGAGACTGTATAATGTGGTATTTCTGCTCAGCTTGCATAGTAGTACTTATGTGCTGTTAATAACTGAATAAAAGCAGGTTTTGCCTCCTTTCAGTTATCTCTTATCCAATTTACTTGTATGGTTAGAATTTCTATTTATATATAGCCTTCCTTTTCAGACAAATTTTGTGGTCTTTTTAGTGATTGATAGACAGACAGACAGACATAATCCCTCTGTCAAGGCATGTAGTAAAATAAAGCCAAGTTCAGTAAAGTATACTCAAGTAGCCAGGGTTAGCAGGAGCCAGTGGGTTGAATATGGTAGGATTTCAGAGAATTGCTAGAAAAACAGCACATTCAGCAAATGGTTTTCCAACAAGGGGAATATTTACCAGTACAATATGAGCATGTAATATACAGAGATATATTATTGAGTGTTGGAAATGTGTACATTTATTTTCTTGGGTTACATATCTAAGTTAATGAGACCATATATTTTATTTCCATTAGAATGGAATTTCTTTTGGAGGCAAGGTACAAACCATCTTAGGAAGAAATGGATTTGTGTATGGAAAAAATCATACCATTGATGGATTGAAGAAGGCAGCTGACTTTGGAAGATTAGACCGCTTGTCCAATGGACCCTCTCTTTTAAAAGCTAATTTGGCAGCTAAAACAGCTACAGAGGATTTAAATACACACTCCAGGATGAGCAAACAAGTTCTTACTACAGGTAACATTTTTGAGCTTCCTGGACTTCAGGTTCCACAGCCTTGTGCTGTATGTTCTGAAAGTGACTGTAAAGGGTTTCTGGCATCATTTTTGCAAGAACAAGGGAATGAAAATTCAAATATGCCCAATTCCACATTGCTGCTTCCACTTCTTCAAACGGTATGTGGTCAAGTAGATCGTCTATGCGTAGATGAAAAGAATAAATGCTGTGAAAAAAATTCTGCTTCTGAGGAAGATGGAATTCAAACTGTTGGGTGAGTTTATATTGAAAAATGTTTATGCACTTTTAAAATTGGGCTCAGAGTGCCTTTGTTGGAAAAAGTATGGCATACTTCACCAAACAGTCGAACTAGTAACTGTTAAACAGAACTTTTCCCCATAGCGTGACCGTTGAATTAAGCTGGATTTTTTAATACATGCATTAAAGTTGAAGGCACTCAATTTGCTGACTAGAATTTCTGAATGGCTTACCTTCCATAGATGTTTGCCTCTCTAATAGCAGGAACTGTATGAAAGATTAATCCATTTTAATCTTAAAATTAATTAAATTTTAATTAATTGAATTTTAGAAAATAGTTTATGCACTTCCTGAATATCTATCAATTCCCTATATTATCTGTTTAGATCCGTTTTAAGATGCTGGCATGAAATCATGGAAAAGAGAGGCATGTATTTGTTTATTCAGTTTACATGACTGCCCATTCACCAAGTGACTCTGGGTAGCTAACAGTGTTAAGAACAACCGAATAATACATCAGCAGTAAAAATCCAACAAACCAGTAGAAGCAACATAACACCTATAGCACTGGGTACAATAATTCACAGAATTCATATTGACACATATGGTATTCTGGCCCAGTGCCTAAAGTATTGATGTGTAATGTAATGATTACTTATCTTTACTCAAATACTGAAGATCATATGCCTCAGTATCCATTAAGGTGCTATAATCATTTTGCTTGTTGCCTTCCCAGGGGTATTTGATTGACTTAATTTAATAAATTTTCTGCTCATTTGATTTAAGTGGAAAGTGACAGATCATATTTCTTAACATTTAAAAATGAATATTTAGGAATTCCAAATTATTAATACTAATTATGCAGAATATTAAATAATATTAGATTTAGGGGAGTGACAGTTCTGAGATCTTGATTCTTCAGTATCAGACATTCTGTTGGGGCATTTGTAAAATTCATGCTACTTAAGGTGCATAATTCATATTTCTGGATGGCATGGGTCAGTTTTTGGTTGTTTCCATTTTTTGCAGTTTAGAACAGCAGCATATTTGTCTGTATCTGGAAAATTTCATGTCCAAAAAGATTGAGCTGACAGAGAAGAGATTAATGGACTATATTGATCTACGTATGCAAAAACTTCAGGAACATATTGATAATAAACTTGCTGCAATAATAGATTTGATTAATAGTTTGCATATTGTTTCTCAAGAGCGTGTTCCTCTGAAAGAAGAAAACACAGATGGGAAGAGGTAGGAAATCTTTGAAAAATCAAAGACCTCAGTATGTTTTGTAAGGACAGGTCTGTATTTTGCAAGCTTTTTGTTTATAAGCTTGTAAACATTTACACCTCAGACTTTGTACTTTTTCTGTAATTTTGCAAGTATCATATGCTCATGTTAATTGTTATATATCTGTAATGTGCAAAATAAGTGTTTTTTACATTTCAGAGAATTTTCTACATCTGCTTATGACCTATTTATTCATAAATATTTAAAAATTAGTTTTGGGCATGATAAGTGCCCTATTAAATTATCCTGAACCATTCTGAATAAAGTACTTTGCAACTTTATTACTATTTAACTAGTTTCTTATATTTTAATGTAGGGTAATATAGCATAAAATAATTAAATTATACCCATTAATTTTGGGTTGTTAATTAATGCTCAACCTTGGAGAAAAGCATATGAACTAAGGGAAAGGAGTCAGTGTATTTCAGTGACACATACATTCTATATCTGAGCTTGTTTATCCATACAGAATGTATAGATATTTCAACATATATTCACTCTGATCTTATTCTGTATCTATTCATCTCTGACATCTGTTCACAGGTTAATATAATGCATATGATGAATTTTTGCAGTCATGCAATAGAATCCAGTGATTTCTGACATCAAAAAACTAATTTTTCCACAATAGTTTATTCATTCATACTTCTCTTTCAGTGGTTTTCTTGAGTGTTTGTGCATTAATATATACATGAACAAGGTGAAGGTTTTTGCCTAAAAATAAGTTTAACATAAAGGAGTTCATGGAAGGGGAATTTTCCTGGCCATTTTCTTCCCTACAACCATCTGTGTCTCCTGAAAAATTCTCCAGAAGAAAAGGTGGGGGAAGAGGAGAAGAATCATATTTATGACCATAAGCTTCCTCAACTTCCATTTGTTTATCTTGGTATCTGATGTAAAGGTATGTGTATGTGTGTGTTTTGTATTTGGCTATTTTTCTTCCAGATACTTTCTCTTTAATGCTGTAATTGATTTATTTATTTTAATTGAAATTATCCTTTTAAGGAAAAACATCATAGAAAAACAACAGAACATTCCATTCATGGCTGTGTAGATGTGAAGCAGCCAGGTGAAGATCCTTGTTAGTAACTCAGTTTCTGGTATCTGTATCCCGTTTCTCGAGTGATGAGATGCTTTGCTGCTAGACCAACCAGGAGTACCACGTTTGTAGCCAGCACAAGAAGTGCAAGGATATATAGGATTTGGGGCTGCGCATTAAGGCTTTCTTCTGGATAAACTTTACTAGAAGCAGCTGAATATAAAAAGCAGAAGACAAATGGAGGGTAAAAAGGTCTTCGCAAGTTTCAAAATCATTCAACAATTCTTTTAAAGTAAAGCCTGGAAAATTAATGGCTATACATTTCTTTCTTGTTACCAGTATTTTATGATTGATTTGGTAGTCATGGAGGTACTGGCAGTTCTATTTGCTACAGTTCAGTGATAGCATGCTCTGATTGCTATTTATAATACTGAAAGTGTTCTTAAATAATTTTGAATAAAACCAGATAAATCTACCCATGTAATCTCCCCAAAGAAAACGTTATTCTCACCTGAGCGATCCATAGAACTTTCCTCTCTTTTCAATCTAAGAGGTCCAATCACAGCATCTCCTTTCCATTTGTAGGAAGAAATCTCTCTCTTATGCCGAGAAATACAGCCTTTGGTGCAGCGAGAATTAGAATTCTTGCTGTCACAGATTAAAACTTCACAGTGAAGATAAACAGATGGGTAATATTCTAGGAATCTGAAGGATTTGAACCTGAATCTCCCATAATGCTCAAGAATGGGATAGGCCACATAAGTATCATCCTTAGTGCAGCTGTAATAGAATATCCAGATTATTTTATAATGATTAACTATGTATTTTATGCTTACCAGAAATTAAATTGCTATGTAAAAGTTCAAGAACTTAAGGCAAAAAGCTTAAGCTTTCATCCTAGATCTATTTCTTTCCTTACCTTTTGTCACATGGACTCTTTAATCTAGAATTAGCTCCGCTTATATTCTTTCCAGAAGGTTACCCATGTTAGGCTTTTGCAGCATGCACAATAAAGGCATGTGACATTTATACAGTTTATATGTTTGTAGATTGTAATGCATTTCATCAGATGCCTGGAGTCTTGTAAGCAGAATATTAAATACACCCAGAGGTGGGGGACAGAATGAACTTGAGTGGCTATAACCAAAAGTAGTACTAAGGTGTGATTTAGATATCTTTACTTCAAAAATTAGTTAATGTATGTAATATTATATGAAACCTTGGTCCTATTTTTCCTTTACAATGGAAATTACATCAGTTCTAGGTATTGTAATATAACTCAGCTTATGGTTATAGTAAATCCTGATCGTGATGAACAGTAAATGTACTTACCCATTTTTGACTAAATCATATTTTGGTGATGTAGAATTAAGATGTGGAGATGCTGTGCAGGTATCCACAAACACTACCAGATTTGGATCACTGGAATGTAGGCTGATCTGTGCATAGAGCATTTGGTTCAAGTCAACGTAGTATGGAGATTCAATTATTGATTTGGAGAAGGAATCCGTTTCATAGAACGACATGCTGAGATTGTATCTACCTACAGCACTTGTGTTCTCTAAATGCTCACTTTCTGTTACATACATAATTTCTACAGTTGAATTGTTTTCCATTATACATTTCACAACAATTTCAACTTTCTTTTGGCGGGTGATCACATCACCTATTGGGTAGGCAGTTACAATATTGCTGTAAGAGATGCTTTGACCTTCAGTCTGCAAAAGAAAGAAAAGAAAATATTTTTTAAATGTTATGCACTGTTGGGGAGCCAGAAAAAAATACTTTTGAGCTACAAATATATTGAGTCTAAAGTTTCATAATCTGTAACTATAAGATTATAGTTAAGAGCTTTGTTTAAATGTAACATTAAGTAGCAACAAAGTCATTATATATGATAATGCATCAAAGAACATTGAAGAGTAGCAGCCTTCTCCAATACCAGTTTCTTTGATACTACTACTTTCTCCATTTGAATACAAAGACGGTATCTTGAAAATCAGAATTTGAATTCTATAAAAAGCACAGGACATTTAATGAAGCAGGCTGTTGCCAGTAAATAAAGCTATCCCAGGAAACCATTGAACTGTGAGCAGCCCATTTCCAGCTTTGGTCTCCAGTTTCAGGATTGTAATCATTTGGTATTTAGGTCCCATTAATTTTAGCGGAACTTGGTGTAAATGTATGTTTTGTATCCTGTTTGATGAGTGTCCCTCATGGTTCCCAACTATTTCCATAAGCCTATGGGTTATTTTTTTAATTAACTTATAGCTCTGATAGTGATCTTTTTTCCCACCTGAGTGGAGTAAAAAGTGGAGTAAGACAAATGCAACTTTATTGGACTAATTCAAGATTGCATGTCATTGATGCACTTAAATCTAGGGATGGTGGATGAAATTGGCAGGAGACAAGCAAGATAGAAAAGATTTTAAGTATGGGCTGCAAAAATCTGACAACCACTAGTTGATAGAAACAAGTACTGAAAACTAACTGCTGCCAGCTAGTTGTCACCTGGATTTTTGCATCCCTGATTGGGTGACTGTACTGTAATCAGACTGTAGCTTTGGAAAAAATAAATGAATTCATAGCAAGATTAATGTTACCTTTTTAACTGTTCCACAGCTGTTAAGTGGAAAAGAAAATATCATTGGGTTGTAAGCAATAGGCTTGCAAGTTGGGTCTTTCAGATGTAAGTAACTTGCATTATAGTTGAGTGAAGCCAAGTAAAATTTGCTGAGAGTAATTGTCATCCTGTCTGAAGAACAACTGAGGGATGCTAACAGGAAAAGAAAAAGAAATGAATAGCCTCAGGGATAATATAAACTCTTTGTCCTAGAAAGAAGTATGTAACTGCTATTTCAGGTTAAGTTAAAAGGACATGATAGAGGTTATGAAATTATGTTTTGTGGGGAAAATGGATCAAATTTTTCTTTTTCTGCAAACATCTAGAACATTTGTGACAAGCAGCAACATCTACCAAGACTTTGATCTTGAAAAAGCTAAGCAGTGTTACACAGGTTTGTTAGTACATGAATGGGAGACCCCAGGGAATCCTGGTTCCATCACTAGACAATAAAGTAAAACAAACAAATAGAAATCTAACTATTTCTAGCATTTTGGAAATGTTTTGAGTTTAAAAACACTTCCAAAATGGTGAAGAAAAATGTTACAATTATTTCTGTGGGTGTAAGCTAGATATTAGTATATGGTATGTTGTATCTGATAACTTAGAGTATATTCCATATTTTATAACAGCTGGCCTGTAAACTAGAGTAAAAAGGAAAATATGGTTCAAGGTACAGCATCATTGTTCTCTTTCTGAGGATATAATCCTGCAGGCAGAGATCCCAAGAAAGCTCAGTGATGTGTTCCTTTTAGGATATCTCATAATAGCTGCATTTTGAGCTCACTGCAGTTTCAAAATGTTTTCAAAGACAGACCCACCCAAAACACATTACAGTACTGCTGGCTGATGTTGTTTTAATTATAAGTTGGAAATTTGCTGTTTGTGACCTCAGAAATTTATTATTTGGGTTATCTGAATATTTGGTTTTAACTTTGCATACTGCCCAGAGTCACTGTTGTGAGATGGGCAGCCGTATAAATTGTATAAATAAATGTCAGTCCTACATGTTATCAGGACACATATCATTATAGTCAGGTATAGCTGTACTGAAAGATAGTTTGGTGTAATGATTAAGACACCAGGCTGGAAACCAGGACACCGTGAGTTCTAGTCCTGTGTTAGCACAAAGCCAGCTGGGTGACCTTGGGCCAATCACCCTCTCTCAGCCCTAAGAAGAAGAAGCTAACAGCAAGCCACTTCTGAAAATCTTGCCAAGAAAACTGCAGGGACTTGTCCAGGCAGTAGCCAGGAGTCAACACTGACTTGAAGGCACAAAACAAAAATCCTGTACTACTGATTGTAGTAGGAATAGAAGTCTCTGGTGATGGATAGAATATCTGGGTGTGTTCATAGCTATGTCAAACTTGAACTCGTAAAGGATTTGAAATAAGGACAAAATCCTTGCCATGTTTCAAAAATTAGAAAAGATGTCATAAAGCAGATTTATACACAATGCATCATTGGAAGAATTGATCTGTATTTGATATTCTCTTTCCATATCAATATGAATTAGTTATTACAACCTCATTAGACTTACTGTTAGGCTGTGATATTGGTATACTTCTGTAGTGAGCTGAAAAGCCCCTGTAAGAATTAGCATAGTCCGTAGACAGCACAATTGTCATAGCATTGGAAGAAGACTCAAATGTTGGAGCTGTACGACCACACACTTTTTTGACTAAAGGAGAGCCAGATGTTGGACCATCATAAATGGCAAGAAAATCAAATTTGCAATTCGCATCCATTTCTATACTTTGGACACAGAGAAAAAGAAGAGTTTTATATTACTATTACAAAACTAATATATTACTTCTCATATGCTTTTTCTCTCCATCTTCATTTATCCTTGGAATAATTGGTTCAAGGTTTTCCCCAGTCCCAGTTCAGCAGTCTTAACTTATACCCCATGCTAGTTCTATGCTGGCTAATACCCTCTTGGGTTTGTGGGATTAGCTTTAATAGGTGTTTGGATGCTAGCCACAGGAGCTAAAAACTGGTGTAAGGTACAGGTCGGATTTAGGCAAATGTTTTCCAAAGGTTTACAATTGATTTATAAATCAATGTGTTATAGTGATTAAGTTACTTAACTAGAATAGGGGAGACCAAGTTTTAAGTCCACACTCAACTGTAGAAGTTCACTGGGTGAGTGGGTTATTCACTATCTCCCAACCCAACATTTCCTGGGCTGTTGTGACTATAAATTGAAAGAGGAAGTAATATGTATACTAGGGGAAATGTAGTTTCCAGATCAATCTACTCTCATCAGTTGGACAAGCTTCAGAACCAAACTAGATTTATTTGTATTAGGTTGAAATATTCCCAAATACCAGTGATGGACTTCTTCCTAGCTTAATATAGCTTCAAGGCAACTGGGCCATTCAGGGACCCAAAAATGAATGGAAATGGTGACTAATGAGCATCTGTTTTAAAAAAGAATTGTCTATTTCAATACCAGTTTAAGGATAAGCATATTGTAATTCTTTTGCTAAAATTCTACTTTACTTCTATTCAGTGGTTTTTACTGAGATGCCAAAATCTGAAACACATATGGAAACCAAAATGTACTTACAAGATTTCACTGAAAGTTAAATTTATCTTGGAATATGGTTCTGTTTCTATATGCCAGACACAATATGTAAAAGGTGGATGCTTCGTGGGGTAGTTTGGGCTGGTAAATGTTCCATCTGGGCCAGTAAGGTAACCTCCACAGCTGGCTTTAAAAGGATTAAAAAAAACTACATCAGTGTGCAGAAATCATAACGGAGTTTGCTGTTCTTCCTGTTCCCATCTTCTGCCAGTGTAAGGATTCAAGCTGTTTAGAAACTATTCAACTGCCCTCATTACCCTTAGGGTAATGATTTGGGTTTTTCTAAGATTATACACGCAACATGGGATTGATAGTGTTTCAGCTAAATCTGAATGCTGCTGACAGAGGAATTGGCCATAAACTGGTTGGACCCACTATGAATTCATGGGTATGAACAACAGCTGCATGGTATTCAGCTAGAGTAGAAATGTTTCTTCAATGTGGTGCTGAACATACACATTATGTACAGACTTTTTAGACAAGATTCTTTGTGTGCATGCTATTTTTACTTTGTTTTTAACTTACTTTTACTATTAGGAAGAATTCATAGTGGCTAAGAAAACTTAAGTGCAAGTTTTATAACTAGGTTTCAAACGATTCTACAAATCCATCCATCCAATAAAGTCAACAGGAATTAGAAAACCAAAAACAAAACCAGATAAAGCAGCTCTTCAGTAAATGCCTGACACAGAGAACTGAGGATGAAAGAACTCAAAAAATTGGAATGGTTATTGACAGAGTTTATTTCTGTGTGGTAATTAATTACTAGATACATTAGTAACATGGAGGAGGACAGCTCAGGAAAGTTCCTTTGGGCTAAGAAGGTAAATGGCTAAAAGCAAAGTGCTGTAGGTTGTTAGTACCCAATGTAGATCCCTGAAAAAGTTTTCTGCAAGCTTCAGCTAGTATCATAAAAGTCAGCAAACTGTAGATCCACACAGTATATCTGAGGCTAAATATATACCCCACTTTGGCACTTCTACAGCAGCCTAAAGCTGCTGAGAAAACCTCATGAGTGAACTGTTTGCTTTATATAATTTTAAATGAGATGCTTTGAGGAAGTTAGCTCACATCAGGGTTGAGAGTTTCTGATCCTTCAGATGTTGTTGAGATACAGCTTCCAAGATCTCTCATCACTAGTTATATGGGTCGGAAATTCTGAGGGTGGTTCAGCAAGCTTTTAAAAGTCTCTTGTTAACTACTCCTTATCTTTTATCAACCTATTTTGTACATTTTATATGCAACTAAGTTTTTATATTAACCCTGAGCAACATTTTTTTTT